CTGACTAGAAAACATTCTTTTTATAGTTTACTTTAGCACACTTCTGTTATCATATTAATTTTCAGCACTTTTTAAAGTAGCAAAATAACCTCTGGCATCTTAAATTTTTCAAACATATGAAAACATACAACAGGGATCAGAGTATTAGGCTGGGATTAGTAGAACAACCAGTTAGACACCATTTGAGCGAATCAGATGGGGTTTAACTCATCTAAAGCAGCAGTCCCCAACCTTTTTGACACCAGGGATGATTTTCCATGGAAGACAATTTCTCTATGGACTGGGGAGTGGGAGGATGGTTTTGGGATGTTTCAAGCACATTACATTCATTGTGCACTTTATTTCTATTATTATTTACATTGTAAGATATAATGTAATAATTATACAACTTGCCATAGGCTGGGGACCCCTGATCTAAAAGATTCAAAGTGAAGCTTATATTCATAGCAGAAAGATGAGCAATATGCTCTAGCCCAAGTAAGGGTGCAAGCTTATGGATCCCCAAATCTGTTAGGGACATAGATTTACAGAAGATGCCCATGTGTAAAGACAGATCTTTTCCAAGTAAGATATCATTCTCCAGCTTTCAACTGTTCTTTGGGTAAAGAGTCACAGTGGGGTTTCTTGGTCCAGTCATCTGACAGGTGGCTCCAGATCCTCTGCCACCATTTCCCCATCTCCACTGGAGTCTTTCTTGCCCTGGAGGTCATACTATGAATATATCTTGCATAATCCTGAGGTTAATGTATCTGGCCAGATGGGAGGGTCCTTGAACAGACCAGATTAGCCTACATGCAGAATTGGGCAAGCCTAGGCTGGCCTGGAAGAGGACTGAGCTTCTACAAAGTCTGACATTATTATCTGCAATTGTAGATCCCTGGAGAGTATTCCACAATCTGGAAGCTTACACCTCTGCTTATAAGTGTATCCTGACTGTACTGACCTGTTTCTGTATCCTTTTGATGAGTCAACCTCTTCTGATTTACTGATGTGGTACTGTTTGATTGTTCCATCAATCCCAGCCTACTAATGATAGTAACTTCGTATTTTCTGTATGCACAGTACACGTGGATATTTTATCTAATGGAAATCCCTCTAAGGTGTATTCTGACTGCCTTAATTTCTAGACTCCCAAACATAACTCTCTGTCCCACCATCTGATCCTGAGAAACTATGTGAAATGAATGACTTCCATAATGATAATGTCTCTAAGCTTTAAGTGGTCTTCTAAGTTTTAAATGAGAAGAGGAAGTTAATCAATAAAAAGGATTTTGTTTGATAAAAGGCGAGCTTACAAAGTCACTTTCAAAAAACTAATTGCATCCCAGGAGGTTGAAAACTTTAGTCTGAGTATGCCAGGTGGAGAAGGGAGAGTGAGAACAGTAGTAACTATGGGCTTTTGAAAAGGTAACTAATCTTCTAAAATGTCTCCTGGGATTGCATCACCTTGACCTTGCATTTGTTTTTCATTTCTACTTTCCAAACTCCCTTTGCGTAAGGATTAATGACTCTCTCTCAGCCCATTAGACTGTCATTAATCTCCAGGAAATACCTTGTCACTTCTGCTTAAAGGGTACATGAAAAATGCTGTGTTTTAGGTTAGAGCTGGTTAATTTTATAGCCATTTAACTACCCTGTTCAATGATTACTGAGCCTTTCTGGAAGTCCTTTTTGCAACACAATTAGTTAACATTTTAATCACAGTCTTATTTGTAAGCTATGAAATTGTTAGATATGAATTATTCAATTCAAATGAAATGCCTTCTTGGGAGGTAAACAGAATTTTCAAAAGCAAAAAGTGTATTACTAGTCTAAATTACTATAATGCATATGTGTTTCATGTACTTGGGAACTAAATGTTGCCATCCCAAAATCAATATTAATGGTCAGCTTCAATTATAAACTATTTCAATTTTAATTTCTGGTAGGAGGATACATTATCTACTAAATCAGCCTTGTAAATAGGCTAGAAAAATCTAGATAGGCATAAATATTTGTATGATCTTAGAGGAATGTTTATGAGACTTCAGCAACACTGAACACTCTTAAGACAAGGCTAAGAGAACAACAGCTATAGCTAACTACAGTAAAGGAAACAACTTGTAAATGAATATTCCTATAAGCATAAATTGTATCAAAAAGAGCAAGTTGAAAAAAAAGAGCAAATTAAATAAAGGCAGACATTTTAAAAGAAAGATTACAAAGAAAGTGCAGGCAAGATTTTGGCTGTTGCAGGGAGAAGAAACTATTGAGGTAGGAAAATATGGAAGTGAAGAAACAAGGATGCAATGATTAGACAGTGAACTAGCTAAGCTGTAAATAGTGACTTTCAGCCAGTCTTGGGGGTAAGGAAAAATAACAGAGGTGTCTGCTTTCACCCTACATGTCCTGGGTTTCTCTTCCACCCGATAAAAGCCAACAAGCCTAGGGCATTGTGCAAATGCCAAAGCACCAGGGTCCAATTCACTGCTGCTCCTGCAAAATGGGAAGAGGCTTCAACCCTAACTTGGGGATTCCTGGGCACACAAAGCAGGCCTGGGTCAGCTGGCTCCATACTGGATTCTACTCTGGCTTCTGGCTTGGTCGCTGTCCTCTGGGTCTTGAAAACACAGGCCTGTGCTCTAAGCCATTGTTCTTTAAACAAAAGTTGTGAACTGCTAAGAGTTTCATTTAAAAGTTTATAAAATGGTAACCACATTGCTACATCTCTCTGGAATATCTTAAACAAAATGTGGTTCAAATTTCTGTTAAAAAAAAGTGCAGCTCAGAGTTCTTGAATAAACAAATAAAGACAACTGATATAGTTAACGAGCTTTGTGTGACCACAGCTATGTCATCTTGTCTTGTTTCTTGCTTTGGGCGAAGGTCAGGGTGAGCCATCCCAAGAAGCAGCCTCCAGCTAGTCAGTCCATCTAGATGCTTCGCCTGAGCAAGCTTCTTTGCAGCCCCCACCCTGCAATCTGGCATGGCAGTGGGGGGGGGGGGCGAGGGAGGGCTGCTCTCATTACAGCCTGCCCTCTCCAACCCAAACACACACAGTCAGCAGTTGTCTTCATTTCAGGAATGAGAAGACACCTTTCCTCAGGATGGCTGGAAGCCCCAATTTCATGACGTGGCCTCTGGGTCTTTAAGCGAATAACGGGTATAAGTAGGTGCTTCTATTAATACTAGAATATTAATTCTATTAATTCTATTAATACTAGAATATTAATACTGCAGAGGTTGAAAAACCTCTGCAGTCATGAGGCTGAATCAGGAAACTTTGCAAGCTGTGATCATGTTTCTTATTAAGGGGGGTTGATCTTTACATAAAGATCAGCTGTTCATTGATTATGCTGCCAACACAAAGGGTGTGAACTCTTTAGGATAACACAGATCCATCTTAATGCAACAATTTGCTGTTTGAACAAACATGTTTATTGCAAGACCAGTCAGGCCAAACGCAAATGTTTTCCTGTTTGCATTTTCCAGGGGGCAGTTTGTAATAGCCTCGGATTTCTAATACTGCACATGCTGGCAACCAATATGCCCTTCCCCATCCCAGCTCTGGCCCTTCCCTGCCCACACCTCCTTTTCGCTCAACGTTAAGAATGGTTGCTATTAACCTGCTCAATCAGTGCTTCCAGCTTGCCTACAAAAAAACCTGATTTAAGATTTGAGGAACTCCCGAAGACTCTAGATCTTTAGTCACACAAAGGGACTCACACTTATAGTGCATTTTGCAAAAATTAAAATGGCTATCCTATCACTGGTTTGGTTCCATGTTCCCCAGAGGAGCCACAGCAGCCTTCAGAGTGGAGCAGCTCGGCCCAACCTCGTGCTCTGCTCAGGACTTAGGGATCCATGCGTGTATTTCCGGCTGACTCTTGCCATTCCCACCGCTCTGCTGCCACACTGAGCTGCTGCCTTCACCATGGTCTGAGTGGGCTCCTCTTTAAAAGGCCATTTATTCTGCTTATGTGGTGGACTTCAAATCACCAGTTTCCTTTTAAAGATTCCAGGCCTAAGATCACAGGGTACATAGGAATAAATAAAAGTTGGGTAAGGTATTTCACAATGACTAGATCTGTGCACCCACAATGAGTTGATCTACTACTGCATTTTACAGCAATTAGCATCCCAAGCCTCAACCACACACATTTTTCCTTCTCCACTGGCACCTGTAGGGCCGTGAGCAGAGGGCATTACATTGCTTTTTCCTTTGAACTGCTCTTGCCAATCTGCTCCGCCCTGGCAGACCTTGGTGGTAGATGGAAAGGCTATTTTTGATGAGAAGGCTTAGCAACATTCCCTAAACAGAAAGTTTCTCTCCTACACGCACAAAGCACTGCAGAACACTTTTAATATAATTTAGTCCTTAAGCCCAGAAAAAGGAGAAAGCTGGCTTTAAAAATTGTTGTTTTCAGTAGCCAAGTAAAGAGCTAACAAATCCACAGGGATCACAGTGTCCTCCAAATACTGAGTAGCCACTGAATGCAAAGCATTGTGGGGGACACAGAAGGAAATCCAGCATTATCCTTGCCTTCAAAGAATTAGCAGTTTAGTAAAGTAACAGGGAAAACATAAGGACTATAAAATATAGAACATAAAAAGTGTCATAAAAGAGATACAGATAAAGTACAGGGGTGATTCAAAGGGAAAAGAGATCTCACACCTGTGGAGAAGTAGAAATCACATTTACAACAAGCATCCAATTTCTTCTGCGAGCATCCTATGTAAGTGAAGGCTTTTACGGCTACGTTCACTTCTCTTTCCTTATTATCCTCTTTCCAAAGATATTTATTTATCCTACCCTACCCCAACCCCGCCTTTTATGGACTGGATCAGACAGCACATGTGTTACTTTGAAGTCCATATTTATTTCCATGACAATCAAGAATTCCAACCAAAGCACTTCATTGAAAGCAAGGTCGAGAGTCATAACCTGTCTTCAGTTGCTCACTCTCTGCCTTTTCTTTGCTTCTTTTAACCTGATCCACCTTACCTGAGGCCACTCTTACCTGGCTGCAGAGCTGTGCTGCTCCTTCCCCCAAGTATCAAAACTTCTTCCCAGAAAAGACTCTGGTCCTGGCCTGTGGCCGTAAGTCAATGTGCTCCCTCCCCTCTGGGCAGTGGGGAGCTCCTGTTTCAGCTGTAGTATTAACTGTCCCTCAGTAAAGGAAAGTAGGACACTGGTTGTGTTTCCTTCCCAATGTCAGATAATAACCAGTCGCTACCACTCAGGAGAGGGTGATACATATGCTTGCTTTTCACCACAGTCTAATGAGCATTTCAAGGTATACCACCTGCTCCAGAGGCCCCTGGGTACAAAGTGGCCAAGGCACCCCCAAATCTGATGGGCTCCTACCCTACGTGCAAGTGAGATGCCAGCGTCATTCCACACTTTCTTCTCTGTTCTCCATATACCTGGGCTAAATAACTGACCACTGATATTAATACCTAAGGAAGCTAAGCCTTGGCCAATCACTCTGCCAGGAATAGAAGACTCAGGAACGGCTGATCCTCCTCACAAACTGTCTGGGAGACTTTTCTTCAAAAGGCACCAGGGTACCCTCTCCATAGCATTCCACCTGAACACACTGCAAGGCAATCACTAACCTCATAAGGCCTTGTACTCCACCAGAGATCTCAGTGATGCTAGTTCTCATAGCTTTGAAATTCTCTCCTACCAGCAAGAATGCAAGCATCCGGGGTCAACAGTCCTCTCACCTGCTGTATTTTCAGTCCTGTTATAACTTTGCATTCCTCTTTGATTCTTCTCTTCCTCTCTGACTTCCCTTCAAGTCTTTCCCAGGGTGCTCTCTGAATTTCTCTGAAGACACGTGAAACTACGCAAAAGCACAGCTTTGCGGTCAGACAGAACTGGGTTCTGTGATTCTAATGTGGACTGGCTATGTGACCTTAAATAATGTGCATGGCCTCTTTGTGGCTTATGACTTTATCTGTAAAATCCAGATGACAGTAATTACTTTGTAGGGTCTTGTGAGAATTAAATGTATAAAACAGCCAAGTACAGTACATAGCACATTCTAGGTGCTCAATAAATGACAAACATTGCTATTATTGGAACCCCTACAATTTTAGCCTTCTCACAGACTCCTCCTTCCACCTTCTGTTCCATCTCCTGTCCAATCCTTTCTCCAGGGCGTACAAACCCTTGAGTCTCTCAAGGAGGTTACTTGTGCTCCCAGAGCCCAAGGTGTCAGCATTTTCCTGGCCCATCACGCTGCTTCCAGGCCATTCCTTTCCATTCTCATATCAAAATCCCTCCCCGGGCCATCTACCCATGCTGCACTTGCCCGCTCCTCAGTTCTGCCACCTACTGACTGCTCTTCATCATTGCACCTTATTTAACAAGGATTTTTGGCAACTGGGTCAAACTTTTTCCCCTCCTAATTCTCTCCCTATAGTGTAGCGGCCCCCAGTCTTTTGGCACCAGAAACCAGTTTCATGGAAGACAATTTTTCCACGGATGGGGCAGGCAGGGGAGCCAGGCAGGCGGAGCTCAGGAGGTGATACCGCAGCCCGGTTCCTAACAGGCCACAGACCGGTACTGGGCTGCAGCCAAAGGTTGGGGACCGCAGCTGTAGCATGTAGCCTGAACTTGAACATGGATGATCTTTACAGTATTGTGGCTTCAGAATTTCTCAACTCCAAAACACTCTGCCCACTCTTTCTCAGCAACCCAGATCCATAGTGACACCTGGAATGTTCTATCTCTGCACACTTATGATATTTTACTGTACTTAAGTGGTTCAACATGTCTCTTTCTCTTAGGTGAACTATTAGGTCCCCACTGCTAGAGACCATATCTTACTTGACTTTTTATCCTTTTCCCTAGGACACTGTCTTGTACACAATAGGTGTTTAATAAATACTCATGGAATGAATAACATGGTATATTTGTGTAGTTTTCTAGAAATAATCGTATTTGATCATCACCATAGGAAAGTGGAAACAATTTTCTTGGATAAATACGCAAATGAGGTTCAGAAAAGTCAAGTGACTTAATTAAGTTACATAGTTAGGCCATAACAAACAGCTGTGTTTTATATCACCTAGAGGCCAGCTAGGGCTCTTCCTACTACCCTAGCTACAAGAGCAGCCTCCTTCTTCCTCTACCTTGATTACCCTTGTATAGTTGTTTATATGAAAACTTATAAGAAAATTTGAGAAGATGTTAGCTTACTCATTTTATGCACACATGAATAGTTTGAAGAGGATTATGCATCTCTGTTGTCCCAAGGGTCTTCTGCCAGGAGACTCTCAGTATCTTCTTAAAGAAACTGTGTAACGTTCTATTTCATTGCCCCTGGTGTGTGCACTAAGATGACAAATGTTCAGTCTATTACCCATATTAAGTAGATTTCAAAACTGGAAAATGCAGAAACCCAATCTTGTGTTCTCTGATTAATTCAATCTTGGATTTAAACTTCCTGATTAGGCCCACAGAATGACATTCACAATTGCTTTCATGTTGAGTTTACACTGTCTGTACATGGCAATGATTTTCAACATGCATTAGGAAGGTACTGCTTTGCTAGACACTGAGGGAAATTTTTCAGGGTTGTAGGTGCTTATACTCTAATAGGGAAGAAAGATATGCACAAAAATATCTTTATTACAAGATAACTTCCTTGCATGTATTGATATTTATTGGCAGCAACAGCCAAAGTTCAATTATGATTAACAAAAATAAAATTTTTAGAGTCAATGACAGCTGACATTTACTAAATGCTTGCTGTGTGCCAGGTACTAACACATAACTTTAACACACTAACTTATTTAATTCCAAGAATCCTATGGATTAGGCATTATAAGTGATTATAATGTTACAGATGAGGAAGTTTAGCCCGAGAGAGGTTCACTTGCCTAGGGTCAAAAAGCTTGTTAAGTGGTAGAAATAGATTCAAATATGGAATTTTGGACTCTGAAAAACAGTGTTTTTTTCCTTTCTGTGTTATGATCTCCTTCTACTGAAGCATATCGTCACTAACACAGGCATTACGTGCTTTGTTTTTCTTACCTATCATCAGTGTGAATCTGCAAACTGCTGAGAGAATCATAGGGAGGCTTTCAGCTGGCTGTGCTGCAACCAGTACAGAGTCCAATGGGTTGGCAATAACAAATTACAGCACAGCCAAGAGTCAAAGTAGTCATTGACCTATGGTCTGTTGCTATTCTGATTTTACTAGATTTTTCAAATAGCAATGTAACATGCACCACTACTCTGCCTGGCTAAACATCAAAAATTACTCTTACCTTGCCAGATATGCCATTGTTGATGAAACAATAATTTAAAAAACCCAACACAGTCAATGTAAAGGTGCTAGAACAACTGGACATCAATAAGAAAAAGAATGAACCTCAACCCAAATCTACTACCTTACACATACTTAACACCAGAAGTGTAATCAATAAATAAATTGATAAATTAGATTGCATAAAAAAAATACTTTTGCTTTGTGAAAGACGCTGTAAAGGGAATAAAAACAAAATTTTGAGACTGGGAGAAAATATTTCCAAACCACGTGTCTGACAAAGGACAACTATCTAGACTACATAAAGAACTCTCAAAACTTAATAAAAACATCAGGCCGGGTGCTGTGGCTCACGCCTGTAATCCTAGCTCTTGGGAGGCCGAGGCGGGCGGATTGCTCAAGGTCAGGAGTTCAAAACCAGCCTGAGCAAGAGCGAGACCCCGTCTCTACTATAAATAGAAAGAAATTAATTGGCCAACTGATATATATATATATATAAAATTAGCCGGGCATGGTGGCGCATGCCTGTAGTCCCAGCTACCCGGGAGGCTGAGGCAGAAGGATCACTGGAGCCCAGGAGTTTGAGGTTGCTGTGAGCTAGGCTGACGCCACGGCACTCACTCTAGCCTGGGCAACAAAGCGAGACTCTGTCTCAAAAAAAAAAAAAAAAAAAAAAAAACTTAATAAAAACATCAAATTAGAAAAAAATCAATTAGAAAATGGGTGAAAGACATGAGCCAGCACTTCATCAAAGTAGATATACAGATGATAAGCATATGAAAAGATGTTCCACATAATTAACCATTAGGGGAATGAAAATGAAAATCAAAATGAGATCACTATGCACTTGTCAGAATAGCTAACATAAAAAAATAGTGATGCCACCAAATGCTGGTGAGGATGGAGAGAAACCAGATCACTTATGTTACAGTTTGGCAGTTTCTCAAAAAACTAAACATGCAGCTACCATTTGATCCAACAATTGTGCCTGGGGGCATTTATTCCAGAGAAATGAAAACTTATGTTCATACAACCACCCCCATATGCTAATCTTTATGGCAGTTTTATTTGTAATAGCCCAAAACTGGAAATAATTCAGATGTAACGTGTAGAATATTACTCAGCAAAGAAAAGGAACTACTGATAAAAGTAACAACCTAGATGAATCTTCAGAAAATTATGCTGAGTGAAAAAGGCCAATCTTAAAAAGTGTTACATATGGCCAGGCGTGGTGGCTCACGCCTGTAATCCTAGCACTCTGGGAGGCCGATGCGGGCGGATTGCTCGAGGATAGGAGTTCGAAACCAGCCTGAGCAAGAGCGAGACCTCGTCTCTACTAAAAATAGAAAGAAATTAATTGGCCAACTAATATATATATATAAAATTAGCCGGGCATGGTGGCGCATGCCTGTAGTCCCAGCTACTTGGGAGGCTGAGGCAGAAGGATTGCTTGAGCCCAGGAGTTGGAGGTTGCTGTGAGCTAGGCTGACACCACGGCACTCACTCTAGCCTGGGCAACAAGCGAGACTCTGTCTCAAAAAAAAAAAAAAAAGTGTTACATACTATATGATTCGATTTATATACCATTCTTGAAATGATAAAATTATAGAAATAGGCAACAGGGTAGTGGTTGTCAGGGTTTAAGGAGGGAGTGGCTGTGGGAGGAAAATGGTTGTGGCTACAAAAGGTCAACATGAGGGATCTTTGTGGTGACAGGCGTGTTCTATATCTTAGCTGTATCAATGTCAATATGCTGGTGATAAAATTCTATTATAGTTTTGCAAGATGTCACCATTGGGGGAAACTGGGTAAAGCGTACGTGGAATCTCTCTGTATTATTTCTTACAATTACATGTGAGTCTACAGTTATATCAAAGAGAAAAGTTTAATTTAAAAAATTAAGTCTATTTTTTGTATAAGAAAAAGAATGAGAAGATATATATCAGAATCTTTATTTACCCTTAGGCAATAGTAAATCAGTGACTTTTCTTCTTTTGCATTATGTCAGCGGTCTCCAACCTATGGTGAATTGTATAATTATTTCGTTATATATTACAATGTAATAATAATAGAAATAAAGTATACAATAAATGTAATGTACTTGAATCATCCTGAAAACATCCACACACCCTCCTCCCTGGTCCATGGAAAAATTATCTTCCATGAAAATCTTCTCTGGTGCCAAAAAAAAAAAAAACAACCATTCCCTTGGGTACTGCTGGATTACCTCACTTTTTCTAAAATGAAAATACATTGTTTTGTTAATTAAAAAGTTAAGACATCAGGTATAAACACAAAACTAAGCTCTAATGACATAAGCTGTCCAACTCAGAATAATAGGGAATATGTTAAGCCAGGAGTCCCTGTTTTGATCTTGAGATTTCTAAGGGTCCAATGGCTAGTGCATAAAGTGTATTTAAAATGAGCTACCCTTTTCTTTTTAAACTTCACATTTCAATTTTTCCATTTTGTATTTTGTATCTTCAGTTATCCAGTAACCTTGAATCTCTCCAGGTACTTGGGAAACCCCCCAGACTCCCATTCATGGTACCTTTGGCATGAGGCTGGATCCACACACAGAGAAAGTTATGTGTATCCAGGAGAGTACCACATTTATGGGTAGCCAAACTGAATGGAATTTGATCACAAAGTCCCAGCAGTTACTCCTGGAGTGAGTCTGTCTCATGAGAAGAATGGAACTGTGATTCTGCTACACAGGTAACAAATTTTTCTGATCCTTTGTCACTTAATTCTAAAGGATGCTGAATGCAGGCAGATAAGTCCTGAGGACAAAGTAGGAACTCTTTCTGAAGGGGGACGCTAAAATAATAATGTCATGTTAATGCTTTTGCTCAGTGCTTACTATACACCAGGCATTGTTAGTAGGACCTTAACGTGAATTAACCCATTTAACCCTCAAATCTAGTGGTCTCCAAACCATGGTACCTGTATTGGGCATGCAAATGCTTTGCAAGATGTGTACATGCAAGGGTATTTTAAAGAACTTAGTCTTCAGACCTTAACTTTCACTTGTACTTTATGTTTTAGCTGCCTGAGAATCTTCCTACATTCATATTGGTTTTTCTACTTTACTAAAAAGCAAACTCTGGCCGGGCGCTGTGGCTCACGCCTGTAATCCTAGCTCTTGGGAGGCCGAGGCGGGCGGATTGCTCAAGGTCAGGAGTTCAAAACCAGCCTGAGCAAGAGCGAGACCCTGTCTCTACTATAAATAG